AAGCTCCGGAAGTCGACGCTAGCCTCGGTACATGGACGCACACCGCTGAATTAATGTGCTTAGTGTGGCCGCATACACTCGACTTTATACAATCGGTTGCCAAAAATTGAATTCTGTAAATTCTGAGTAATCCTGTAGTGTAGACATACCCTTTGTCCATAACAGGGGTTGTGATTGACCTTTATTGTGGCTGTGTGGCGGAAGTACAGGAACTCAAGAGGATGGAGTTTGCATTCAGTGTGAACTAGGGTGTGGAGATTGGCAAAGTGGCCAACTGGGATGTGATTGGCAATTGGCAAGAATCAGTATATAAGTATGTTGGCATTTGGCATCTGCCATTACTTACAGGATAATAGAGTGCTCTGTGTACTCCACAAACTCTTTATCCAATTATGCACTAATTTCAGTGTTTTGGTTATGATATTTGAACTCCTCATTGTGCTGGGTCCCAGCTATTTTCAGGCTTGCTTACACTAGGGAAATTTGACAAAAATTCCTCAGAGTCACTAACACTAGTGTCAGCTACACCAGCAACTTTGAGAGCCTTGAAGTAGACAGGACATAGGCTGCAGCCAATGTTTAAGTATCAAAAGTAAATTACATCTTTGTTTTGAGCAGTGTTAGTGGACGCAGTGCTTAAAATGCTGGCAACTGCCAAAAAACGATCTATACTAGCAGCCGGATTCTCCTACCCACTGTATCTACTTTGTGTTGCTCAAGTGTACAAAATGGACTGAAATTGGCCAAAAATGGCCATCAGAGAACTCCTCTTGTGCAAGTGAGATCTCTGCCTCCTGTGTCAGCTTTGTCCTTCTGTCCCCTGCACAAAAAAACTCCCTTCCCGTAGCATAGCTGAAAGCAGGGAACGTGTTAGGGGGCAAAGGGACAGAGCAGAGCTCCACTTTGCATGATCCTCCACTACTGTAAGATCACCTAGGGAACTTACATCAGTGGCATGATGTAAAAAGATGTCTAAAAAGTCTGAAACTGATTATCCTTGTCTAAGCTTCAAGAAAGGCAACCAGTAAACAAACAGCATAGATGTTTAAAATTATTATAGTTTTAATAATCAAAGTGTCATTTATAACAGAGGCAAGGAACTTTGTTTTGTTTTAAATAATTTTTAAAGCGATCAGTGTTCCTTTTGGACCCCTCCTATTTCCACTGAAGGCAAAACTCTCACTGACGTCACTGGATCACTGACTTTACCTGTAGGATAGAGCCTTTAATGATACCATAGCTGAGAAATCAATACAGGTTGAATCTCTCTAATTCGGCACTCCCTGGTCCGGTAACATCCATGGTCCGGCATAGGTAACGACTCTGTGGGTGTTCCAGGGCTGGAGCACCCACGGGGAAAAAATAGTGGGTACGGAGCATCAACAGGTGCCAAGCTTCCCCCTCTGCCCCCTCCCCCCGTGCCTCTCGTGTGCTGGCGGCCTCACACTTACCAACTCCTCCTCCTCCCTCCCAGCGCTTCTGGAGTGCCACGAACAGCTGATTCATGGCATCCAAGCTCTGGGAGGGAGGAAGGGGGAGGACCTGGGGCTGGCGGCTGGGACCCCGGGTGAGAGGCCAGCGGCTGAGACTTGGGTCCGGCATCAGAGCCCCCGGGTGGAGGGCCACGCTGGGTGCAAAGCCTGGGGGTGCTGCATCAGCCCCCGCATCCCCAGAGGCGGCGAGTTATATGGGCCCGTGGTGCCCGTGCTCCAGCAATATTTAGGGCCCAGGGGCACGGCTCCACCAATGTTCGGGGCCGGGTCTCTCCCATGGCCCCGCCTGCTGCCCCCGCGCACCTCCCCCAAGCATCCTTGCCTGCACCCTGGGCAACGGGCGGCTGCCACCTACAGCTCCACACTGTGCTGCACTCTGCTGGCTCACAGCATCAACTGTCGCCGCAGGGTCCTAGCGCCCCCCAAGCACTAGGGCCACGGCATGCTGACTCCGACTCTGCTCTTCCGCCTCGGATGGACGGAGCCTTCCCTTTTCTGGTGGGACCCTCCACCAGCACAGCCCCCCGCCTGCTCCTGCCCCACGCTGGGCAAGGGGAAGCCCCAACCCCCTCTCCAATGAGACTACAATGAGGGGCAGCAGCAGGGAAGTAGGTGCACACCTGATGGCAGCCCCCCTCCACCTACCACAGGGGAGGTGAGGGGGCTTCCTGGACCTCAGAAGAGCACGTGCAGTGGCAGCGGTGCGAGGTGAGTGTGCTGCCAGTGGGGAGAGGGCTGGGGGGAGTCCTCCTCTCTGGCCCCAGATGGGGGGCAGCCTGCCTGCACCCCAAACTCATCCCTGGCCCTGCCCCACCCCAGAGCCTGCACCCCCAGCCAGAACCCTCACCCCCTTATACTCCAACCCTCTGCCTGAGCCCCTCCCACACCCCAAACCCCTTATCCCCAGCCCCAGCCCTCATATTTTTACATTATTTAAATATATATATATCAGCTTCCACGGCAGGTTGGGTGGGGGGCAGGACTTGGACCTGTTCTGGGCACCACCAAAAATTATACAAACCTGCTGCCCCTGTGCACCGCTACTTCCCGTGCCTAGGGAGACCCGCTGGCACTCTGCATTGACCTCCTGTGGTTCGGAAAATTCTCTGATTCGGCACTGGTCAGTCCCAAGGGTGCCAGACTAGAAAGGTTCAACCTGTATAGTGCTATTTGTCAATTATTTTTAGGATCTTGATTTCTAAAAGCTCTTTAAAATTATGGCAAATCAAACTGGTGTCATTAATTTGTTTCTTCTGTTTGTATTAAATTAATCTGCATTTTACACCATATAACTTGTAAAAATGGTTACTGCAACTGGTTGTAACATGCTAAATTGTCACATGCAGTATTACCTGACAAAACGAGTGACCTGTTAATTAGCAAGGAGAAAAAAATAGGGATGAAAAGTAAAGGGTGTCTCCAAAATTCCTTAGAGTTGTGTCAAGAAGCAGTTACTCAGATCAAAAAATATGGTTGCTGCTGCTAACAGACTATGATTTGCACATATCATTTAAGAAGCCTGCTAAGTTTCCTTCACAGTGTTTCCAAAATGGCTTAAAGGAGTTCACAAATCCCTTCCCAATACAGGCCGCTCTTCCAAACCACAGTGGAGGCCTCCCCAGGGCACAGCAAGGGGCAGAGGACATCTAATTCTGTAACAGATTTATTCCTTCATCAGGTACTGACTTGACATAGATTTTATAGAGTATAATGTCAACAGGGACACACACACTGGCCATTACTATGTATTCACTGATGAATAGCTGTATTTATTTTTCAGCCTTTGCCTTTCTTCCTCCCCAGCTGAAAGTGTGTCTCTCTTCCCTTTTCAGTCTTTGAAGGGGAAAGCGGTTGTATGGATCCAGCACCCAGCGATCACGTTTCTGATACCGACGGTTGTCTTCTCTCTGTGCACAGTCACAACCCCATGGGGCCACATTAGCCTGGGCGTTTGAGGTGGGCTGAGAAATCTGTAATGGGCTGAGAAACCTGTTCATGTTGAGGGGATGAAGAGGCGGCCGTCCCCAACCAACTCCCCACCATTATTAAAGGAACATTTTAATTCTCCTCCAGCCAGTGGCTCCTGCCACCGTGCGAGCAACAGCCTGGCCCCTCCCCAGTGTCCCGCCTCCTCCTCCGCCTGCAGAGCAACAGACTGAGCGGCCTCTGCAATGTCAGCTCCGCAGAAGCGGGGAACCTGCAGAGACAAGGCAGGGCGGGCGTAGTGCGGGGTCAGCTCCCCCCAAAGCGCTCCCTCCCCCTGTGCCAGGAGAAGGTAAACGGAGGGAAGGGGGAAGGACGGCTTGGGCTGCGATCGGGGATTCCCTACTCCCCTCACCCGCCTTCTCGCTGTATTACTCCGTCAGCCCAAACTAGCCCCGTAGGCACACGCAGCGCCCCGAGCCTGGCTGGAGCGGATTCCACAACAAAGAGCCGGGGCCAGGAGCTGCCCGGCTGCCGCCACTGAGAGGGAAACGGGGAGGCAGAGGGGGATACTCAGGAGCCGAACAGATCCCACTGTTCGCAGGGAGAAACCTGCAGCCGACCGAATCGAGAGCGACGTTCACGCACCAGCTGGAGGAGGAGGGAAATCTGGTACCTCAGCAGGTCCAAGGCTAGCGAGGGAAGGGAGGGGGCGCGGGGAAGAAGCAGCGAAGGGTAAATCCCGCGGGCAGAGCTCGTGGCGTGGCTTGGCTCGATATTAACTGCAGGTTAGTCGGTAAGCAGCCGGCCATCTGCAGGAGAAGCACCTCTCCGGGGGGGTGTGTGTGGAGGGGGTGTCCCCCCTTTCGAGTGGGTTATGGCCACAGCAGTGGAGCTTTGGTGACTCCGGGAGCAGCTATAGTGCTGCAATGCTGCCAGCAGCAGCCCCGGTGAAAGGAGGCGTCTGAGCAGAAGCTGCATCGCCTCTCCCCATCGTCTTTCTGTCTCTCCCGCCCTCCCTGCTCCGGGCTCAGACGTTTCTGTCGCCCTCACTCACGCCGAGGAGCGCCCTGCTCTCTGCAGAGGGGCCACGCCGGGGCTCGCCAGGCAGCGACTACAACAGAAACCGCCAAACACAACATGGCCACTCTGCTCCGGAAAATCGGGCTCATCCGGCTGCACAACAGGGACACGGAGGATCCCAAGCACCATCACCACCACCACCGCAGCAGCAGCAGCCAACAGGGCTCCTCGCTCCGAGCCAAGGGCAGCCAGAAGAACAGCAGCAACAAGCAGCAGGGCAGCGCTGGCTGCAGCAGCAGCAGCAGCCCCAGCAAGGAGGGCAGCCCAGCGGGCAACAAGGCCAAGAAAGTGCTGGAGCTCTCCAAGCAGCCGCCGCAGCAGCCTGGGTCGGGGGGCCACAAAGAGAAGCCCCCGCACCACAGCGCCAGGGAGTCCGGCTCGGGTAAGGAGCCCAAGCCACAGCTGCTGCCGGGGGGGAGCAGCAGCGGCCGGGCCGGCTCTGCCCAGCTGGTGCCGCCCCCGTCGGGCTCTGCCCCGCTGGCGCCCCTGGGCAGGCAGCAGCACTGCACGCAGGTGCGGAGCCGGCGGCTGATGAAGGAGCTGCAGGACATCGCCCGGCTGAGCGACCGCTTCATCTCGGTGGAGCTGGTGGACGAGAGCCTGTTCGACTGGAACGTGAAGCTGCACCAGGTGGACAAGGACTCGGTGCTGTGGCAGGACATGAAGGAGACCAACACCGAGTTCATCCTGCTCAACCTCACCTTCCCCGACAACTTCCCCTTCTCGCCACCCTTCATGAGGGTGCTCAGCCCCCGCCTGGAGAATGGCTACGTGCTGGACGGCGGGGCCATCTGCATGGAGCTGCTCACCCCTCGCGGCTGGTCCAGCGCCTACACCGTGGAGGCGGTCATGAGGCAGTTCGCAGCCAGCCTGGTGAAGGGTCAGGTAAGGGGCTGGGGGACCCCGGGGTTCTGTGCGGTGTCAGCTGTTTCCTTACTTGCAGGGGTTTAAGCCCCCATTCCCGCACAGCCTGCTCCCTGGCTTTGACCTCCTGGGCCAATGGCTCCCTGTATGACCTTGGCCAGGTCAAGATACCAAGGTGAAGTGTCACCCGCTCTCCCTGTTCCTCAGTGAAATGGGGATAATAACACTTCCCTACTGCACAAGGGCGATATCGTCAGTCATGTGGGTCAGGTGCTTGGAGAGCCTCTCGTTTCAGTTGCATACAATGGTAACAGTGGAGGGGGAGAGATCTGAAAGGAATGGCTTTATCCCCCCTTTTATATACTTTGTCCTGTAGCTGACATTATAATTTGCTAAATATATAAAGCTGCTGGAGGAGCCATCCCCAGTAGACAACCCCTTTTTGTTGAGCAAATTATCTTCCAGATTTCAGGTGACATTTGTTCTATCTTGAATTAAAGCCTCCTTCCACTAGTCAACCTAGACTGGCTGGCCTCTTGCTTTAGACAAGTATCACTGTGATACACTGCCTTGAACTGCTGCTTCCAGACTTTTATCTGGCTTCTTCCTGCCCTCGCAAGAATTGCACAGATAAAATACCGGATGGGATAGTGGGCAATTATTGGGACTCCCTCAGCACCTGGTTTTTGATAGCTCTAAACATAGGTTTGCCTCTTTGACATTAGTTACACTCAGGCTACAATTCTTGCCCAGTGCTGAGCTATCAACATTGCTGTGCAGCTTTAAAAAATCTTGTTGTCTAAAAAAACTAATCAAGTAATTGTTTACTATACATTAGGTTCATAATGGCTAGCCCTGGAAAAGATCTTTTGGGTCCTCCAGCCAGAACAGAATATGTAGTTCCTCAACAGAGGATGTATTAGATATCAAATGATGTTTTGCTCTTAGCCAAGAAGAAATACTACTGTTGTATTCCTTTTTCTCTCTCTCCCTTAGAACACCATTGAAAATGAGATTTTCATGAAATATTTATAATGAATAAATATTTTTTGTGAGATCTCTAGCCAGTCCTTCTTTATGTTCATTACAATGTGCAAGTTGCCTGTGTCTATGTAAGGTGGTTTTCTGATCATTTAGTGTGTCCTTGAAATGTTGTCTTTCCACTTAGCCCACACACACACGTCCATGTCCTCTAGCAATAGTAGACAATGCAAAATGGTGTTCTTTCCGTTGAACAAAGGTAAATAAATTCACTGGATATCTTTTGGGTGGGTCATTTGTTTAATAAATAATTACATTATTGTCACAGATTTACTCACATTCACTAATGGGACTGCTTGTGTGAGTAACTGCTCATCATAGCTTCACAGTCTGGCCCATAAAGGAGGTGTTTATTTAGATTACTTTACTTGAACCTTGCCTGACCCTTTTGGGAAAGACATTTCCACAATCCTCACCTCCTCCTTCAGTCTGGCTCTAGGTCTGCTACTCATTTATTCAATTAGTTTGTACTGTATGCCTTGTTTCATTTGAAGATGTCAATTTCCATAGGTCACCTTGGAATTCAAAGAAACATCTACCCATAAAAAAGAGGCTTACTTAATTTATAATAGATCCATGGTATATTAAACCTCAGTAGTATCTGTTTTATGTCCCATTACTTGTTATTCACTCTTTTTACAGTGATCATCTTTTCTCATTGTGTTTGAATAAGGACTGAGAAGTATTATGTTAAAATCTTTCAAACCAGTTCTTAAACTATTGTAATATTTTTCTGTGGTTCGTTTCTACCCCTAAACTGAAAAGGGTCAAAGGAAGGTTTAATGGTATAATTTTGTTTTAAATGTTTTGTTTATTCATAACATGGCTCAATATGAAAAATTTTAAATAAAATACTTAGATTACTAATCAATTAAACATTAGTCTTGAACACACTGTAAAATTTCACAGTCTTCTTTTAATCACCAAAAGGATTTCTGAAATAAAATTCTGTTTTCTGGTTGCAAAGGAAGGATGGTTTCTTCAAAGCAAAGTTTTTCTTTTTTGTTGAAATAAATCTGTTCAAGCCAACATTTATTAGAGGTCTGCTAGCAGTTTGATCTTAGGTATTTAATATGAAAAAGTCATGTATGTATGTTGATGTGTATTTGTGAGATAAAGTAAAAATGCTCAATTAAAATTATTGCCAATAATTTAATAGGCAAGTAGCCATAAAAGGGAAATTTGAAAGCCATGCACTGTGCAATGCAAGTTAAAATATATATTAACAGTAATATAATATATACTTGTCAGTTATAGCCTGATAATCTGTGATAGATTACTGTCCTGTAATAGAATCCATGCACTGTGTAATGAGAGCCATGTTTTTTTGTAATCAGACTCATGTTATATAATCTTGATTCCATTGCATAAGTGCAACAGCTGAAAGTGCAGACACTTTAGAATCCTAATTCCATTTTTGTATTTTAAACATTATCTTCTCTTGACTATTAGTTTAATGGGAACATATATCTTAAAGTCATAAGAATATAAATGTTGAAAATATATAACCACTGATCCTGCAAAAATGTACATGGTTAATTCTTATCATGCTGCAAGTAGTCACATTGACTTCAGTGAACCTACTGCACAAATAAGGATGATTCATGTCAGATTAATTAACTAATATCTGTACAATGGTTTAGCATATAAAACATTGTGAAAATGCTAAATATCATTATTATTTAAGTAAGGGTTTGAAAGAGTAGGCCCTTTCTGTAGACTAGAAATGACAGTGCAAGAGTAAATGGTAATTACTAGCATACAATTCCATTGAAGGATTATGAAGCTATCATAAAACATGCCAGAATAATGCAGCATCAGAATTCCTCCTTTGAATTCCAGCTTGGTAGTCACCACTAGCCTGGGTATTAACCCTTATATTGGGCGTTATCTTCAAAGGAATGCCATGCATGGAGCTCTTGTAGGATCTGGCCCAATATGAGCTCAATTCTGCTCCCACAGAATTCAGTGGGAGTCTTTGACTTTAATGGGAGGTGGATCTGACCCACAGAACAGTTACAGGATCAGGATCAAAAGTAGCACTTCCATTGTTAAAAGAAGACTTAAGATAATATATATTAAACATTCTAACTATTAAGAATGTAGAGTATTTCACATGATAGAATTCTAAATATATATGCCCCAGTCCTGTAAGCAATTAGGCAAGTATGTATCTTTAATAAGACTTCTTATGTGAGCAAAATTACTCAAGTGTGTCAATGCACCATTTGAATTGTTTGCCTACTTTTTTCACTTTCACCAGTTTGAACAATATAACTAGGCTGGTTAGTTTCATTTTTTGTCTCTAGTCAAGCCCACTTTTTGATATTTATGTACAATAATGCTGTTCTGTGCTAGTTTCCAACACTAGAGGGAATGCTTACATTTTGTGTTGAAAATAAAAATGCCTTTCAATATATTTCTCATATTAGGGTTTTGTCAAAAACAAAAACTAAGCAAGTGAACCCTAACCGTTAAGCCAGACCTGTCATGCTTGATAGAGTCCAAATAACACTCATTCACCAATTCTAGGAGTTTAAAACTTGCTCTAAAAATTTGCCATGGGTTAGAGTTTGCCATACAACATCTCACTGGGAAACATACTTTTGTTTATTTTTACTATCTTCGTGTAAGTTGTTCCAGCCATTTATATATTTTAGGAGTGCCAAAAACAAAAAGATTGTGTGTGTGTATAGGCCCTGATCCTGCACAGTGAGAATTTTACCGTTAACTTCAGTGGGCACAGGCTCAAGCCCTTACTTTCAAAGACTCTGGTCCTGCCTAAATGTAAGCACCTGAGTAGTCCCTTTGAAGGATTGGTGCCTTCAGTTCTAACACTGCTTTGGGATTTTGTTTTGTTTTTTGTTTTAATTTTGGGGGAAAAAATAAAAGATTTTGCAGGCCACAAAACTAACTAACTAAATAAAATAAAACAAGACAAGTAATTATTTTACTTGACTAGTTAGGAAAAAGAAATAGACAAACTTTGTATAGGAGGTATAATCCGTATCTCAAAGAACACACATGTAAAAATAACTTACTGAGTCAACAAGATTACTACTGTTACCAAATAAAAAAAGGTCATGATATTGATATTTATAAATCTATCTTTGAAAGCCTTTTTAGTTTGCATATTTAAGACATGCTCTAAGTTCCATTTAGATTACTGCACATGTACTATAGAGTATTCAGATTATATAATGTTGATATTTTAGTATGCAAACTAATATTGACACAAGAGAAGATTAAAATGAATCATGTCATTGAGCTAAAATTGATCAGAGTATCTCATATATTTGCAAGTAGGTCTTTGTTTATACAAAACATTTGTTGTAAATTAATATTAATAGCCTAATTGAATTTCTTTCATTGTGGAATTTACAGTTTTAGATTTATGGACTCCCAACTTTTTACATTGAGTGATAATAGCATATTTGATATGTAAAAGTAATAGGACCCAGTCTTTCCCCCATTGATGTCAATGGCAAAACTTCCATTAGCTTCAGAAGGAGCAGAATTGAGCCCTTCCTTAACCACAATGGTGTGAGTTAATGGCATGAGACCAGTTCCATTGGGAGTTGATGGTGCTTAGCACCTTGCAGGAGGTTCTCAATACCTCAAAGGACTGGGCCCATATTTTCTGCCTTAACTCTGGATCTCTCTTCTTAAAAGATTATTGGGCCATGAACTGTACTTTAAGAAGAGTTGTTATTATTATTATTATTTATTTATTATTACTGTTATGTAATTGGTTCCTGCTGTACCCATTGCTGACAGTTTGGTGAGCAAAACTAATGACTTGTCTACACTTAAAACGTTGCAGTGGCTCCACTGTAGTGCTTCAGTGAAGATGTTACCTACATTGACAGAAGGGGTTTTCCCATTCGTACAGGTAATCCACCTCCCTGATAAGCAATACGTGAACAGGAGACTTCTCCCATCAACCTAGTGTTGTTGTCTACACTGGGGGGTTAGGTCAG